TTTACCACTATTTATTATAAAATCTTTAATTTAATGGTGTTCCAGGTTTTATTTTCATTCATCTTATATACATATAGTAGACATAATATATAGTCATGTGTATAAACACAGGTGCAATAGTCAAGCCACTGGTATAAGATGTGAAATAACATGTGAAAAATAGGCAACGCATAACAATATGTGATGAATAGGTCATGCGGACCAATCAAGTGTTAAAAATTGTTTACACATATTAACTTGCCTGTAAATTATACACTATGTACTTTGTACTCTGTTCCTGGTATATCCAAAATAAACAACAATTAAGGGTAGAGTACATGTAGATTATTTGTCATATGATTTGCATAGTAAATTTAGATTTATATAGTAAGTAAAAATATAGTACTAATAAAATTTTTTAAAAACATGCCAAAATTTATTAAATTTTTAGAATATATAAATTTTTTTTTTTATTTTTAAAACCAATGTTATTGGTAGCTATCATCTTTATTTGTGTTTTTTGGTTAATGTATTACATGTAATTTGTACAAGGTAAGTATGCAACTAGCCACACGTATAACTTTTGATTACCTATTTAAGTAGTCTGCTCAAGGGTTCTACACTAACTGCTATGCCTGTAAGCTACTAGGAGGGTACCTATTTAAACACTCTAATCCTTATACTACACTTAGACAAATAGCACCTGGTTCTCATACAACTAAGTGCTGTTTAATCCAACATTTAGTTATTCTTTTTTGTATATCTGTCAAGCTATTAAATATTTCAGAATATGTCATCTGACTGTAAGGTTCCAGAGTACCTTCTTGTTAACTATCTACCTACTCTATGAAACATTAACAAGGTTAATCTTTGTAGAGTTTTCCAAACCCTAATACTACTTCATAGTATATCCCTAATACTTATAATATACCTCTGTTTTAATCTCAGACTCCCAATTTAGATAGCTCAGTAGGATTGTGACCTGTCCTTGATATATCAAGCCAGCCTGATATCATTTTTCTTCAGTTCAGTTCTGGTAGTCTAGTTGGTGGTATCTCTAATCTGAGGTTCTTGTCCATCCAGCTTCTCCACATTGGTATCTGTTTCCTAGGTCTAGTCTTTATAGTAGTACTGTTGAAGATCTGTATTACCTCTCTATTTGGGTCTTTCCAAATGGGCTCCAGTTTTACAGTTCTACAGATTTACATAACCACAAGAACTTATTTTAGATTTGCACTGCCCAGTACTGGTTTGCATTCTTCTGTGTAACTAAAGTTACACAGATGTCCTGTGACCTGCCAGTCATGTTGGTGTGATCATAGTTATAGATTTCCTATTCCAACTGATTGACAAAATGTCATTGCTGTAATATTGTCTATGTATTACATAGGTAATTATTTAAATTTTTATTATCAGTAGGTTTTGAACTCACAACCTACCACTTAGGGGGGTTGACAACTTATCCACTTTATTAAATTAGTACACTACTAATATATAAATTAAAACAATTTATTTATTATAATAAAAAATTATAATATATATTAATTTAAAAAAACTATACTTGTATATATTATAAAAGTCTTAGTAATAAATCCAAATTCTTAGTAATAATGTTCTGATTAGTTGATTATTATATGATTGTTATATGATTTTTATAATAGATTTATAATACCAAATCTTTAAATAAATCTATCTTAATAAATTTTAATCTGAATTTAATAATTCTATTATTATTAGAATCATAAAAATCTGTTTTATAATTTTGCTCAAAAACTTAAAACTAGTTAAGTTAGTAAAAATATTTTTAAATATCAAAATAAAAAAATTTACAATTAAAGTTATATGATAAGTAATTAATATGAACTCTATCTTTAAATGAAAATGTATTTATCAAAGTGACATTTATCAAAAAAATATTTATCAAAAGAATATTATTGATATGAATATAAAATATAAAATATAAAATATAAAATAAAAAATATACATTGTTATATAAAGTTTGATAAATTTTTTATATTATATATAGTTGATTTTAAAAGTTTGTTATAGTTATACAAAAAACATAATAAAAAATATTTCAAAAATTTATATAATAATAGTTATAGTTGTAGTTATTAGCTATTAATGTTTAATTTGCTGTATATCGATCAAGTATAATTATTATATATTAATATTAGTTAATAATAATAGTTTTAATAATAGTTTTTAGTTTGGATTAGATTATAGCTTATTTTTAATATAGGTTTGATACTTTAGTTTTCTTTTAGCAAATGTATTGACTTAAGAATATCATAATTATCTTTCTTCTAGTTAGAAAGTTTTTTATTTATAATAAAACTTTTATTTATATTTAAAGATAATTTTTTCTACATTATCTATTTATATTATATCATTCTTAAAAATCTTTTTTTATTATAATAATGAAAAACTAAATATTTTATATACTATTAATCAATCTAAAATAATAAATATAATAAATGTAATAAAAATAATAAAAGTAATAAAAATAAAATAAATTTTATTTTTAATATAACTAGTTACTCAGATAGGTGATAAGATTTAAATTTGATGATTGATTATATCTTATGTATAACTGTAATAATAATAATACTGATTTTGAGACTCACAACAATTAATAATTAATACAATAAATGTAATACTTTTATTGTATGTATTGCATATGTATACATACTTAAAGCTGCTCGATATAATAGTATCAAATTAGTTTTTGTCTCAAATTAGCCAAAACTAAGTATATAATATGCCTTATTACTGTTATATGAATAGTTTTTGTAATAATATAATTTAGTATAATAATTATTTTAGTAATAAAAGATTTTATAATATTATAAGATAATTGTTATGATTAGCGTGATTAATATGTTTATTAGTAATAATGATATCTTATAAGTTTATTTAATTTGAATATTTAAGTATTTTATATTAAATAGAGATAGAGATAACTACCCATTACTACTAGATAAGCAATGATTTATATAATTTAAATTTTATGAATGATCTGTCATAACAACAGTCATTAAAGTGTTTTTTTTTTTGGTATTAAGGTAACCTCTTTGGTCATTTGATTTTTATTAATCACTTGTCAGTATTATGATTCAATAAACTACTATAGGAGAGTATACAATTGGTTATATATATAACTTTTCTATATTATCTATTTAAGGAATCTGCCTAAAGGTTCTCTACTAATTGCAGTACCTAACACCTCTACTTAGATATTCTACTTTAAATCCTCTAAATCTGTAACCTGTATTAATATCACTAGGTCATATCCAGATGCTCTGATTATTATCTCAATCTTAGGACTAATTTATTCTTGAGGTAAACCCCCCAGAGCCTTCTGTATCTATTTTTATAACTGGCCTAGGTATCGTTATAATAGAACTAACACTTGCAGTCAAAGCTGACTATTAAACCACTATGCCCTTGTAGAATTTACACAGACTCTAGCATCTACTTTACAGCATATCTAAAATACTTTAGTATACTCCTGCCAGTTCACCAAACTCCCAATCCAGAAAGCTTGGTAGAACTTATGACTGGTCCATTAATATATCAGAATAACTCAATATCCTTTTTCTTCAGCTCAATCCAGTAACCTGATTGATGGTACTCTCCATCTAGAGATTTTTGCTTATTTAGCTACTTTGACCTTAGTATCTGTTTCATAAGGCTAACCTTTACAGTAGGGCCATCAAAAATCTGGTTACCTCTTTATTCGAGTCTTCCCAAATAGACTTTTTATTACCTAATTTCAATAAATTTACATAAGCATAAGGACTTATCTAGTGTTTGCACTACCCAATTGCCAATTTGCATTTCTTCATATAACTACAGACCTTGTCCCAAAGAACAATGTCATGTGACTTGTTATACGAATACCCCATAACCTACCAGTTATGCTGGTGTGACTATCATTATAGATATCCTAACCCAATCATTGGTAACAGTTGCCATAATATGAATATTACATAGGTGATTATTCAAATTTTCACCATCAATAGGATTTGAACACCCAACCTACCACTTGGAGAGTTGATAATCTGATCACTTCACTAGGATACCACACCTCCTAGTGTTTTCTTTTTATTGAACTTAATAACCTAATATAGGTTAGTTTTTCACTTACAAGTTATGACCTGTCAGAACAACAGTCATTTTATTGAAAAGTAAAAAAAAAAAAATGCTGTTTTGTATTTTTGCACAGAATGCTTGATTGCAGAAGGAATAAAACCTATATGTTGTTTCATAAAAAATTATTAACATATAAAAAACAAAACAATATGTTCTTGTAGTACATATATTACACACTACTATCAGTTTTTAAATAATAAAAGTAAAACCTTTGATTGAAGTGTAGTAATCTAGAAAAGTGAATAGGTTGTTAACATTCAAGTGGCAGGTCTATACAAAAATTATTAAAAATGTAAAAATATAATGATTTTTTAATTTTTAGCATTTAAAATAAAAAATTATTTTAATTAAGTTTACAATGCTAGTTATGACCTATATAATAAAATATATTATAACATGCCTGTTTCGGTCATTCAGATAGACACACTCTGAGAACTAAATGGAATAGAATAATTACATTGAAACTGATAAGTTGATGGATTTATGTGTAGGCGTTTGATCTAGTTAAAAAGTTAACAATATTCTTACAACAAAAAAGAAATAACTTAAAAATTATTGAATCAAACTTTATACTGGACCGAAAATTGGTGTGGATTTAACTAGGGATTGGAACCGTTTAACCGTTTAAAAATTGCTCCATAGTTCCGGGCAGAATTATGTTTGTCGTGGGCCGGAATTATTTAATGCCGGCCAAATTAAACGGTTAAACGATTAAGAAAAATTTTAGGCGGTTCCAACCCCTAGATTTAGCATACAACTAGGGCTGTTAAAAGTCCGATCCTTTCGGTCCAGGCTTCGTAATTAGGTATTTGAACAATTATATGGATCACAAACTGGAACAAAAGACATACATATAGGACTTAGTCCTAGACAGCTTTTAGTCAGTCCTAAAAAGTCCGTATGAAGTCGACACACGTGTGCCAGGTTATGTATGTTGCCGATCGCACGTCCGAAATGTGCAAAATTCTTTAAAATTCATTGATGTTAAGGTTAGAATTTGTATTAAGGTTAAATCTTAAAAGAAATATAGTAAAATCGTTCAAAGGAAGGTGATTTCTTATTTAAATTTTTGAAAAATACACGATTTTTTGACAAGATGAACGCTTGTTTTGATTTTTTTCTGATCGTGTAACGGTACATACAATAATGAACTAGGGAAATATGAAAAGGTAACACGTGACTAATTTTATTATAGTGGTCCTTACGTGCTCCTTTTTGCATATAAGGGTCGCAACCAACCGTTCTCGACGTTATCCCATTTAAATAATTTCTTTATAGTATGATTAAAAGAGGTTTCGTCTATCATTTCTTAATGAGTCATTGCTTAGAATTTCAACACGTATTTTTCATTGAAAAATCATAATTTTGCGTCTGTTTACTCGGCCGATATTATCAATTCGGCCAAGTTTTCTCGGCAATTACTTGACAAATTCTATGAAAAAAAAGTTTTATTTGAATTCTACAAATTCATAAATAAAAAATTTTTAACGATATTAGACATGTGGTTGTCAAGAAAACTTTACTCAATTTTTTAAAAAAATTTACGTATAGCTTGAGAAGAATTTTCTAGACAATCAATCGATAAATCCTGTTTCTTATCTAAATCTATAAGTTTACAGAACTGAAATAATTGCACGAGGGAACTTTTTGTAAGATCTACATCACATGATTCGGAAAAATCGACACATAAACAGTGCACAATCCAGCAATCACAAACATTAAGATGAATAACAGTGCACAATTAACAAACATTGAGATGAATGAAGCTATATAAAGAAAGAACCCAAAACTACATGATGTATCACGATATTTACCAAAAGATACATTTTGGTGCACATATTAATATAAAGAACATTATTTAATAGATAATAATTTAAACAGACGGTTTAAAGGTCAACATCGGTTACAGAACATAATGCTAAAATATATAAATGATTATTTATATAATATGCTATAACTTTTATTAAATAATTTGATAATTTTTGATTGATAATGCAATAATATAATTTACAATAAATACACAGCTTATAGCATTGTTTTCCACTTATTTTGATGATAAAGGTTTTCCACCTACTATAATAATAAATTAGCATTAACGAATGAAATTAATTGTAATAATTGAAAAATCATAATAAAACATTATATAGTACTTACATTTCGATAATTTTTGATCTATTTCTTCGATTCTTTTTGGACCATTTAGAAGAGCATCCAATTCAATATCATTTAATATCCTATTTAGGTAATTTTTTGCAGTTTCTTTCGTCCTTTCATCTTCAAAATTTAGCATTTCCAAATAACCTTGGAGATTTCTTTCAGCGACTTTAACTCGAGTTGAACTAGATAATTTTTCTAAATTTCCTTTCTCTCTGGACAGCTCAACTATTTCTCTATTGTTCTTTTCCTGTTGAAGTTCTTTTCGAAGTTCATCGATTAAAATGTCTTTTTTCTTCAGATCCTCTTGCGCATTATTAAATTTTTCTTTATACTCTCGTATGTCATTCTTAAGAGCAACAGAGAATTCATCTTCATGTATTTTTTGTTCCTTTAATTTTTCAATTTCTTTCTTAGCTTCGGATAATTCATTCTCAATTGCGACAAATTCTTTTAATTGACATTCAATATCACGAATGTTTTGTCTTAATGGAGGTATTAATTGTTGAGCCGTTCCTCTGTATTTTTCATCTTTAAACCAACCGTATTTTAAGTAAGCTTCCTGTAAACCTTTTTTATTTACTTCTAAAACATTTTTTTTAGACTCTATACCAGTTAATTGATTTTCTAATTCTTTGACTTTAATGTTCTTGTTTTTTAATTTTTCTTCAATTTCTTTCATTTTTCGATCAGACTCTAATTTTTTTTCTTCTCTATCTTTTAATTCCTTTTTAATTTTATTAGCGTTTTCCAACAATTTTTCGCGTTCTAATTGTTTACTAGCAATTGATTCCAAATTTTTCCTATGTTCTTCTAAATTAGCTTCTAATTTCGTAATATCTTGTTCCAAAGATTTTTTTGTTTCTAATTGTTCATTAATATTTAATTCCAAAGTCTTTTTTTTCACTTCTAATTCGGTTTTCAATTCATTGAATTCTTGTTCTAATACTTTTTTTCTTTCTTCGACATTTGATTCCAAATTATTTTTCGTTTCTTCCAATTCAGTCAAATTAGCTTTCAATTTAATGATTTCTTGATTCAAACTATCAGTAGTTTTAGCAGCTTGTTGACGTTCTTCTTGTAAATCAATTATTTCTGTTTTCAATTTATCTTTTTCACTATTTAATTCACATTTTTCACTATTTAATTTAGTAACTTCATCAGTTAACATAAATAACTCTATTGTAGTTTGAGTAGTCAATATGTCGATAAGTTTTTTATCATTAAGTAATTCAGGTAATTTTTCTAAGTCAACACCTAATAAATCTCGTAATTTAGATGCTTCATTCTTTAATTTTGCGACTTCTTGTCTATATTTTCTTATAATATCACCGTCATAAAGAAGTGATTTTAGACCTTCATTTGAACCAATGCTTGCTAATTCGGTTCCCATTTTTTTTTTAATGTGAAATGTTTTTTTTTTTTAACTTTAACGATTGATTATAAATATGTAATTCGTATTTCGAATAAATTTACAAAATTTATCAATAATGATTTAATACGTTATTATCGTTATATGAATATAAAATTTAGTGGTGTAAAATGCTTGTTTTTTTGATAAAAAAAAAATGAAAAAATGATTTTTTTTTTACAGCTTTTATGATTATAAAAAAATTTTTTTAAGAGTGAAATTAAAAATTAATGATTTTTTTTTTAAAATGTAAACGTACAGACGAACAATAGTGATGGGCATTATTTATATATAAAATCATCTGCAGTGTTATCGAATACAAACTTTAATATGTATTAACGTTAATGGCTGTACGGAGATGAACACCCGAATTTAAAAAGGAAACTAAATGTGCGTATGTGATAATAAGAAATTCGGCTATAACGATAATTTCTAGAAATTTGTAATAATTTAATACTAAATTTATACATTACAATAAAATGGCAAATTTGTCGATTTAAATAATGATACGGCGTTTGAAATTTATTAAAGTCTTAAATTTTTAACGTTAAGATTGAGTTAATACCTTGATGATATACTTTAATATGATATTTGAATAATTTTGAATTATAATATTGAAATAAATTTAAGTTCCATCTTTTTTAATAAGATGGTAATTTGCAACCTCTATCTTAATTGGATTTGGAATTGATTCAATAGTTATGAAATTTTGCTCAATATACTATATCACTATAAAGATAAATAAAAGTTAATGCTATGCAATAATAGCCGAACCGACATGTCCAATTATATATATATAAAATAATTTTTCATATTTCGGCATAGTGATTCTGGATATTAAAATCTCGAAGCATGCTATTTAGGTAAATGTCCAATCATATCGATATGCGATCTTAATAAAAATTCCGTTATACAGTTCTCGGTAGATCAATGAATCATGATTGTTTATTATTCCAAGAGAAACAACGTCATACTTAATTGTCTTTGTTTTATGGTGGTCTTTGTCTTTTAAATGTTTGTTTATTATTTAAGTGAACAATGTCACATTGATATCACATTGTCGCTTATTTGTACCTTGATAAAGTGCCATTCTGCAGATAATGATCTCATGTGAATCATAGAATTCGACAATTTCGAATCAATGCATCTGGAGTACGTACGTACATAGTTACATAACACGTACATACGTACGTATGCATGTACGTGAGTCTTTCAAATATCTGAAGTAGCACCTGACTAAAATTAAGAGGTATTAGCAAAGTAGTACGTACTGCACGGCAGTACATATTCGGACGAACATACGAAAACTATACAGTACGTACAGATTTGCAAGTAATCCCTCTTTAGTGGCTAAGGTTAGGGTGAGCACTAGTATTGTCCTTTTTTGATGTTAGGGTTAGTAGGAAAAGTAACGTGGGTTTGACGAGTTTTTTCTTTTCTAAACCGTAATTTGCGTTTCAGTACTTCGTATATATCCAAGATTAAGCCTCCGAAATTAGATCCTCATGCATTAGTGTAAGTAATAATTTTAGCCAATGCTTACCTTTCAGATTTGCTGATTTAAAAAATATAACCGATAGAATCTCTAAATTTCCCGCTATAATTACGTATGGTGAAAATTACAAGGTCAGCCTTTTTGAACAATTCCATTATTCTTAGCGGATCTATGCCAGATATACAAATTCTGCTTAATATTTCTGTTTCCGTCCACAATCAATGCATCTGCAGAAAAGTTAGTACGTAAACAAAAAAAAAAAACCAGCCATAAACTTTAAACGGTTATTATATATCAGATAAACGTAATACAGTAATAATCAATGCTTTCATGCAGCCTTAAAAAGTTAATACACGTACGTACGTACGTAACTTCGATATCGATGTTCGATATCGACACAAAGTGCATAAAAGTTATGAAATTAAATTATTAAATTTATTAATAACAATTCGGCAACGTCATATGCATTTATAAAAACTTTGCTATTTTTATAATATCTAGAAACAATGAAGTGTGTCGGTATGTCTGTATGTATGCTGCTGCATGATTGTGTATCACATTTATCTGTACGTACGTACGTAACAGGTAAGTCTAAAAAAATTCATTAGCCAATCAAATGTCAAGATCTAAAAAGTCAAGATCTAAAAAAAAAAAAAAATGCAATAACCCAAATCAATTCAACAATCCATAACTCAAATTTTTTATGTGCGAAAAAAAATTTTTTTGATGTTGTGTCACCAAATTGAAAGAGTATAAAGATCAGAATTTAGCGCAGGCTTTAATTTACTTGACGTTCGATATTTAAATATACTCAACTAAAATTTTGTGTTGAAAACTTTTATTTAGAAGTCAAACTGTAGTAAAATCTTGAGTTATTTACGATTTTTCTGTTTTCTCGAATTTTTTTAAGTTATACACGATGTGATTTTGTTGGCTACAATCAGCAATGATCGACATAACCTGTCACAAGTTTCAGACGTGCATGATTAGTGTTAATGATAAGCATGTACTGTACGTACGTATCAAGATCTTTAATTGTTGAGTCATGGTGAAAACACCAGCAGAATGGCTTGAAAAAGCAGTTTCAGATGGACATATTAATTATCTTGAATATAGTGAATTTACAGACCCTCGAGAGATTGGTTCTGGAGGTTTTGGAAAGGTTTTTAAATACAAGTGGAAAGTTAGTGAATTAACAGTTGCTCTTAAATGCCTCAAAGTTGATACAAATATAAGTGAAGACGCCATTAAAGATTTTATAAATGAGGTATTATTTGTTATATACATTAAAACTTGAATTACATCTTTTTACAGAATAATAATATAATATATTAAATTCTTATTCATGTTAATTAGCTTAAACTGTTACATAAAGTTTGTAGCCACCAAAATATTATTGCATTCTACGGGATAACAAAAGGTATAAATGTAATTAATAATTTTGATGGTATTAAATAATAATACTATTATTTTTATCATTATTATTATTAAAAAGCTATTTTATAAATAGATAGCGGCGGGTGTTATAATATTGTTTTACAGTATGCTGAAGACGGAACTTTGAGAAAATATTTAGAAGCAAATTTTACAATATTGCAATGGACTGATAAACTACGTATTGCTAAAGAAATAGCCCATGGTCTTTTATTTTTACATAGTAAACAAATCATTCATAGAGATCTCGTAAGTACTACTGACTGTACTGGATTTTATATTTATTAATTTACAATTACTCTAATAGTTTAAATTATTAATACTTTAATAATTTAGCATTCAAAAAATATTTTAATCCATCAAAGTCGACCAAAGATTGCGGATTTTGGTTTATCAAAGCAGATAAATGAAATGTCTATGACTTCTAATTCAATTGTTCATGGAATGCCCGCGTATATCGAACCTAAATGTTTTACTGATCACAAATACAAACGTGATAAAAAATCTGATGTTTATAGTTTTGGAATAATTCTCTGGGAAATTTCAAGCGGTAGACCTCCATTTCAATCATTTAAATCGAGAGATTCTCTCGTCGTTCACATATCCGGAGGAAAGAGAGAAAAGCCTATAAAAAAAACTCCACCTCGGTACATTGAACTTTATGAGAAATGCTGGGACAAAGATCCTGCTAAACGTCCAGAAACAAAATCAATTTTCAATACCTTAAAAGAACTTAATGAAACCTTGAATCGTCACCATAAAGAAACTTTGAATCGTCACCCTAAAGAAACTTTGAATCAACAATATTCAACTGTTACTTCCACAAGTCGTCAAGATAATACAAACACACGTGTAAATTCACCTAATACGTGTATCACGACATCATCTCCACTTTATTCAACTAATTCAACTAATTCAACTAATTCAACTAATTCAACAAATTCAAACATTTCAACGCAAAATAATACAAAAAAATGTGTAAATTCATCTAATACGTATATTACAACTTCATCTCCACTTTATTCACCTGATTCAACAAATTCAACAAATTCAAACCTTTCAACGCAAAATAATACAAAAAAATGTGTAAATTCATCTAATACGTGTATTACAACTTCATCTCCACTTTATTCACCTGATTCAACAAATTCAACCCTTTCAACGCAAAATAATACAAACACTTGTGTAAATTCATCTAATACATGTATTACAACATCATCTTCACTTTACTTACCTGATACAATAATTTCAACCATTTCAATACAAGATAATAATACCCTTGAAGATAAGAGAAATGAGGCGTACGAATGTTTTGATCAAAGCAAATTTCTAAAAGCATTAGAAATTTATGAAGAAATTCTCAAAAACAATCAACATAACACTGAAGATCAAAAAAGTGCTTCAACTTGGGATCTTTATCGTAAATGTGAATCGGAAAAAATCAACGATTTAATAATGGCTCTTTACAAGAATTCTATATTGACTTCTTTAAATCTTAGTTTTAATAAACTTGGTTCAAAAGAAGGAAAAGCATTAGCTGATGCTCTTTGCAAGAATTCTACTCTAACTTCTTTAGATCTTAGAGGCAATAATCTTGGTTCAGAAGGTGAAAAAGCATTAGCAGATGCGCTTTGTAAGAATACAACTCTAATTTCTTTGGATCTTAATTGGAATTATTTCGGACCAGAAGAAAAAGCTTTAGCAAATGCACTTTATATTAATAATACGCTAACTTCTTTGGATCTTGAAAGTAATAATCTTGGACCAGACGTTGGAAAAGCGTTAGCAAATGCACTTTGTAAGAACACCGCTTTGACTTTTTTAAATCTTAGTTGGAATGAACTTGGTTCGGAGGTAGGAAAGGCATTAGCTTATACACTATGTAATAACAATACCCTGATAGATTTATATCTTACTGGAAATAATTTGGGATCAGAAGGTGGAAAAGCATTGGCAGATGCTCTTTGCAAGAATACTACGCTTAAAGATTTAAATCTTGGTCATAATGAACTCGGGTCAGAATGTGGAAAAGCATTAGCAGATGCTCTTTGTAGAAATAATTCCTTGAATTCTTTGAAACTTTATAGAAATAATCTTGGACTAGAAGGTGGAAAAGCACTTGCGCATGCACTTTACAAGAACATTACTTTGACTTCTTTGGATCTTAGTTATAACAATCTTGAATCAAAAGGTGGAAATGCATTAGCGGATGCGCTTTGTAAGAACGTCACCTTGACTTCTTTGAATCTTGGTGTTAATAATCTTGGATCGGAATGTGGAAAAGCATTAGCAAATGCACTATTAAAGAACACCACATTGAGTTCTTTGAATCTTGGTGTGAATAATCTTGGATCGGAAGGTGGAAATGCATTAGCAAATGTACTTTACAAAAACACCACCTTAACTTCTTTAAATCTTAGTGTTAACAATCTTGGTTCAGAAGGAGGAAAAGCAATCGTAGATGCTCTTCACAAGAATAATACCCTGAAATATTTGTATATTAGTAATAATGATATTGATTTCGAAGTGCAATCAAACAATTCAAGTATTAAAATATATTATTAAATGTAAAAAATGTAAATAATAGTAAAAATTTTATAAATTATGTAGCTAATATATATTACAGTAGTTTTGCAAGGAATCGATTTTGTTCGAATTTCAAAAGTAATTTTATTAATAAGAATTTTGAGAATAAAAATATATACATAAGTGTACTCTCAAATAAAAAAATATATTTATTTGATTACTAGCTAATATAAAATATTAATATTTTACTGCTATGTACTAATAACTTTAATAAGAAAAATTGACACATTTGAATTACTCGTATTTCCACATCAAGAAAGTTCCGCTATTAGGTGTTCCAATCATGCCCCATCTTCCATATATTTCACTTCCATATATTCGTCCATAATAATTCCATGAATGAGTAGTATATTTTTTAATTAAACCAACTGAACCATTAGGTAATATTTCTCCATTTATTTTAAAATTACCAACGCTATCAGTGCCAGAACCAGAAATAAGGTTCCCGGAGAAATCCAAGTTCATTAAATAGTGATCAATATCATTATCATTTAAGTTATAAAAATAACATCCACACCAATTTCCGGTAAGTGACGAACTTTTAACTTTATCAGCTCGTCTAATAATAAAATTTCCAAGAGGTTGATTTTCGGTACCCCATGTTCCAAAAAACAACTTATGTTTATATAGACCTTGATAGTTCCATGTCACATTATGGTTACAATTGACGTAACATTTGGTAAAAGTAATAACCTTTGTTAATGAATTAAATTGACCTTCATCAATAGTGTAAGTACCTATACCATCTTTTGGGTAAGCGGTACCATCTTTCCCGTGTGAAGTAATCAAGAAATTTAAATCACCAGGGAGTTGAGCTGAAAATTTTAATTTTATGATTGACAAGTCCGGCTGATTCTGTCCTATATTTGTATAAAATATATTATATTCGCCATTCCACCAAGATGATACAAGCTTATTGGTTAAATCTAAACCTTGATCAAAAAAAAGTAAGAAGAGATTATTTCTACAGATGGTAATAATCATATTGGAATTCCTTTTAATATAAGGAAAAAAAACATACCAATATATGTTGTAGGTGGTGTATAATAACAACGCTCGATTATATCAAATTGGTTCAAAAGGTCATCATAATGCATAAAGAAAGAATCATGATCGCTGAGAAAATAATTTAATTCTGCTATGTAACGTTTGTTGCCTTTTTGTATTACCCATGGTGACCATTCTTGATTATATCTTTCATCTGACCATAAACCTACAATTAAGTAATTTATAATTCAGTAATTAGAATAATAGTTAGATTAATCTAAAATGGGTAATTTTCAAAATTTCTTCAAATTACTTACCTTTCCATTTCCCATGGTCCAATGAGTTACGAACTTCAACCAAATAATGATTATGAAAGTTAACAGCACGAATAATACTATAGATGTGATGTTGGATTAAACCATATCCAACTTTTACACCATGACAAATAAATATACTATTATTTTTTTTCGTGTCAGAAGGAAATGAATTCCACAATTTATCTTTTTTGATAGGGTTATTTTTGATATTGTCTGTTTTATATGCTTTATAATCTTTGCCACCAAAACCTACGAGTACTATAAGTAAAATTTATAAAGTTAAGTCATCATGAATAATTTCATTCCGAAAAGTTTACAACCATTTTCTAATACCATCACGTATGCATCCCCGATCGATAGTTTCATAATTTTTATGACATTTAGCATAGGCTTCTATATAAATTTATTTAAATTTATATAATATTATATTAGTGCTTAATTGGGAAGAAAAAATAGTGATGACTCACTTTCGAGGAGTGGAACCCATGTAATTTTTGGATCATTACACGCACTATAAATATATTATATTTTGTGATGAATACATAAATATTTCATTATTTACTGCAATAATTTAAATTACCTGAATAAAAGTGTGCGTTCTTGTTTCTTATAAAACAAATAATCATCGATTACAATACCAATCCATTTATCTTTCTTGAAGAATACGAACCCATAAATCTATATACAGTAAATTACTTTATAATTAATTTCCAATTTATAATTTATTTTATATTAAATACATTCAAGTTACTTACACAGAAATCTTCCTTTCGTGCAACTGCTATAGATTCTATAAGTCCAGGAATACTAGCAGCAGCAGAAAGAATTGGGAGAAACCAACCATCGCCTCGAATTACTTTTTGACAATATTTTTATATAAGGAATTATTATATTGTCATAATTAAATAGATTAACAACTTATTACCTTGATTAACATTATCATTATTTGGATTTGTTATAGTTTTAGAAACACGTTCAACATAATTATCAGAATATTTATATCCATTATTATCAAAGGTTTTCCTATGACCAGACTTTGTAAGGAGTTGACCATTATTATAAAGTGTATTGTTCGGGCTTTTTTCAATGTCCCATTCGAGATCTTTATATTCTCCATTTACATTATTAATCAGATTCACAATTTGGGCGACCACAACATCACGAGATTGTCCAAATACAACTGTACTTTTATTTTTCATTATACCCATGAGTTGTTAATTAGTTGAAAGATTGAACAGAGTTTCATTAACCAGGATTTTGCGTACGTATATGTAATGCTAGAAACGGAGTGTTGTGTAGCATAGCACGAAGTGATGTCTGTACTAGGGGTGGGTCCGGTCGGTTATCGGTCGGTTATTGCCAGTCATTGACTCATAACCGACCGACCGCAGTTATTGGACCGATCTTATAACCGGCCATATAACCGGTCAAATGACCGGTCCAATAACTGTTCAGTTATTAGCTAGGTTTGCGACAAAGCTTTTCTATCCATCCAAGTTTTAATCAGATCTGTGTGCATATTTAATCAGGATTAGTATCAGTATTGATATGCAGTATGATGAACTACTACAACGTAACTATAGTTGTTAGGCGAAACTGTTTTTCGCAAATGGCGAAACACGAAACCTAAACCCGGCGAAACATGAAACTGGCGAAACACTTGGCGAATGGCGAAATCCCTGGAGAAAGACGAAGTCCAAGCTCTCCGCAAGTTTAAATTCTCTAAGACTTCGGAAAAGACTGAGCCATGTTGGAGAATGAAATACTGTATGTGTCGATTGAGCATTGCATGCGCGCATATGACTCATTAAAAATATACATACGTATGTACTTGAACTAAGCACAGCATGTGGCTTGTATAAAGAAATGTACCTAAGTCATGTTGGTAGATGAAAATATTTGCATAACTATTAAGTACAGCATGTGGTTTATATAAAGAAATATACCCAAGCCATGCTGGTAAATGAAAATATCTACGTATATTCTAACTATTAAGCACAGCATGTGACTCATACAAAGAAGCCATGTTGAATTAAGTATTGATAATTGGAATTTTTCCGTTTGTTCAGAATTTAACACATCCATACTACTTCCGGCTATAGATTCTAAATTCCGTTTAATAAAAAGGTCGCCAGAAAAATATCAGGGCATGTCACAATTTTGTGTACTAGTGAAATCCACGACGAGGTAGTTACGTTATTGATGTAGAAGGTTAGTTATAAGTTAGTTACTATTTTAGATTGTGACATGCATCAATAACGTAATCATTGTCGTATTATTATTTTATCTCTAGTTTTATTTTACTTCTACATTCAATAAAGTAATTTTTTATAAATTTTCGCTCAAATAAATAAAAATCTTTGAACAAAAAATTGCCCCAACGTTAAGTGCTGTAAAATGAATTAGAATGATTAATTAAGCATATACTATTGTTTTTTCTTTCATAACGTAATTGACGCTCTTTAATTTCTTTTCTGATATACTTAACCAAAATTACCTGATGGGACAAACAGGAGGAACCGTCGATGTTACACGACTGATTCTGTGCAACATATAAAAAAAATTATTTTACAATACTAGATCATTCCACTAGTACATGTTATGATTATGATCCAACACCATTTTTATTATAATAAAATGGTCTTGGATTATAATCATAACATGTACTAGCGGAATGTTCCAGTATATATTGGAAAATACAGTCAGACCTCGTTATAGTCACTCTTGATATAGTCACAACTTGATATAGTCACAACTTGATATAGTCACCCTGTTTTTTGTTCCTAGCTTATATAAACATATAAATTTTGACCTTCATATAGTCACAACTTTTTATAATCACCAATTTTTTGTTTCCCGACCTGGTGATTATATCAAGGTCTGACTGTATTTTTTTATGTTCCCCGTTTGCTAATTGTTCGCCCGTGATACTGCATATTAATATTTTACTAGATCTATTATCGGAGATCAAATTTTCTAATAAAATATCAATATTGCGTAATACCGTGCAATATCATACCAAAAATTGTACTGCCAATTACATATTTCATTCATTAATGTAAAAGTCTTTTTACTAATAGTGACGTATCTGTAACACATGATTTTATCTTATCATGGGCGTTAGCGTTAGTAACCAGGAAATATATTAATTACATATGTCGCACACCGGGTGAAGAATCAGTCGTGTAACATCGACGGTTCCTCCTGTTGATGGTACATCAACTATTCGGGGCAGGTTTGAATATTTTTAATATCTGTTCAAAACTTTATTTTTGAATGTCAATACATTCATACATATTGAAAATTTTAAATAAAAAGCTTTTATTTAGATTCCTCTTTTGAGTGTAGATGTAGAGCGTTCATTCACAAATTATAAGCATATTTTAGATGATAGACGGAGGACTTTTACTGAAAAAATATTGAAAGGATAAATTTTTTCTATTTTAACGAACATAACTTTAGAGAAGATGGTATAAATGTTTTTTAAAATATAAATTCATAATAAATTTTAGTTTCTTAATTTTGCTAATTATACTAATTTTGCTAGCTATTTTCGCTAACTATGTTTGCTACTAATGACCACTGGCTTTGATTCCAACCTCCAATCTTTATCGACGTATGCAATTTAAATTCTTTTTTTTTCTGATTTATTTCCTATGCATATTTTTCTTACTTATATTTATAAACAAAAAAAAAAAGAAGTTGACCTTTTTATGTATCTGTCGTACGTCGAAACGGAATGATTGCGAATTTAGAAACAACTTAAGTTGGAACAGAATTCCAAATGTAACCAAAAAATGAATTTTTTCTTATTTTATTTTTATCTTTTGCAAAACTCTCTATCCGATAACCGAATCTCAAGATTATTCATTTAACCTCATAATGGATTAGAAGAACCGCTTTCCAAATATCTTAGCAGCAAATCGGCTAATAGTCGACATTAAACCTTTATAACGCGTGAAGACTTTTGATTTTCGCATTAAGGTTTTACATGATCCAGCAAATGCAAGTCCAACGATTGAAAGACACTCCCCTGCAAGATCCTTGAAATTCTAAAGGATTACATACAAATCCGGCATTATTTGAATTAGTTTCCAGAATTAGATAGTACAGTTGATATTGAACCTTTCCTAGGGATGGGCAAATCGAGAATTTTTTGAACCCACTGCACAGCCTGCAGCATTATGCAAGCCGATCGGAATTATACTAGCTGGTCAGAAGTATGCTAACTAGCCTGAATTTTAAAAATCACACTGCAGTGGGCCATCCCTAACCTTCCCATAACGAACTCTGGAAATAACAATAATTCGGTATAAAATGTACAATGGATTCTTAAGAAAACATATAATTTTCTATCAAGAACTTTTTTTTCTTCAATGCATAATGCACATAAGCATCCAAGAAGTGTTTATTATGCAATCCTCTTTACAAGTAGATAATATTAAATGCAAATCCTAAAACGCGCGTGACAAAAATATTTTAAAATAAACCCTATGAGGTGTAGTTTAAAAACTTCTTGTAATGCTTTTAGACTTAACTAATGATAAGCCTTATTTTAAAGCGATTTAAATTCCAAAACGAAGTACTCAATGAAATAATTTGGAATACACATAATTTTATTGTAAGTTGAATTGGAATTCTTTTACTGACTCTGATACATTTTAGAAATCTACAATAATTCCATTCCAACGTACGACATAATATATAACACAATCAAATATTGAAGCAATCCAATATTTTTAAAAAAATACATCCAATAATTATTTATGTATGTGTAGCTTTTTTCTAAATGTTAAGTCACGAGTAATTTTGTTACATACACCTTCACAACATTAAATTTCAATTAAACGATGTCAAATAATTACGCTGACATCCTTATATATAGGTACTAGGTGTTTCTATTACTATATTTGAAAAACATGTTTAATATTAATATCATTAAGTTAGCTTAACTCATGTTTAACTATTCATGTAAATAAGTTAATAATGTAATAATTGTTGATTCAACAATTAAAATTACAAGAGTTTGTCTTATTCAATATTTATCTTGGATTAATATTTTCTTTTTTTTTGTTGTAAAAAAAACAACTGGTTATAGGTTGTAACTGCGCCCTCGTTTATTGATTACGCTGGCATTTTTTCAAATTAAAATAACTATAATCTCACTAATACCTAATAAAAACTCTTTAAATTTTGACCTGATGAAATTTTAACTTGACGAACATGATCATAAATTCTAAACTACCTTGTAAAATCATCGAAAGATTTTTCGGCCGTTTCGTTAATTTAGTGATTTCGGCATATTACAATTTACGTTACATATAGATTATATATTTGATATATCTTTAATCTATAGAGTGAAAAAAATTTATTTTGCATAATTTTTATGAGTAAGTTTCTGACATGTAACTGTTGATATGTAAAATAACGTTGGCCAAAACTTTCATATACATCGTTGTGGATAATCGACGTAAACTTTGCACTACTTGAATGTGTGCCAGGTTCGTAGCGTAGCAAAAATTCTTTAAAGCTCGTTTATGTTATGATTAGAGTCAGTGTTAGATATAGTTTCTATAGTAAAATTTCCCAAGGAAAACTTTTTGTTAGAGCACTAAGGGTAGTGATTTTTGAGAATTAAGTAATTTTGACAAAACGAACGTTTGTTTGGAATTTTTTTGATCTTGTTACGTTTCACCTGATCTTGAAATCTTATTCGTAGTTCAGGAAATCTGCTCCATAAATCTGGCACACATTCAAGCAGTGCGAAGCTATTTTTTCGGTTGTTTCTTTTAAGTAGGAAGTAGAACAGTTTGCATGATTACACAATTATTTTAATTACAATAAATTGTATTATACAAATAGAAGCAAGCACGTACGTACGTACCTAGTTTCATTAGTATAAATTAAAAATAAAGTTGGTTTTTGCATAAATTAAAAATAAAGTTTGATTGTTTTTGTAAACGATTATCATATATGCATGCTATAAATATCAATGAAAATTTC